ACAACTACACACACAACTACACACAACTACAAACACACAACTACACACACAACTACTACACAACTACACACAACTACACACAACTACACACACAACTACACACAACTACACACACAACTACACACAACTACACACACAACTACACACAACTACACACAACTACACACACACTACAACACACAACTACTACACACAACTACACACACAACTACACACACAACTACACACAACTACACACAACTACACACAACTACACACAACTACACACACAACTACACACAACTACACACAACTACACACACAACTACACACACAACTACACACACACACTACACAACTACACACAACTACACACAACTACACACACAACTACACACACACAACTACACACAACTACACACACAACTACACACAACTACACACACAACTACACACAACTACACACACAACACACAACACACACAACTACACACAACTACACACAACTACACACAACTACACACACACACAACTACACACAACTACACACAACTACACACAACTACACACACAACTACACAACTACACACAACTACACACAACTACACACACAACTACACACAACTACACACAACTACAACACACAACTACACAACTACACACACAACTACACACAACTACACACAACTACACACACAACTACAACACACAACTACACACAACTACACACACACAACTACACACAACACACACACAACACACAAACTACACACAACTACACACAACTACACACACAACTACACACAACTACACACAACTACTACACACAACTACACACACAACTACACACACAACTACACACACACAACTACACACAACACACACACAACTACACACAACTACACACAACTACACACACAACTACACACAACTACACACACAACTACACACAACTACACACACAACTACACACACAACTACACACAACTACACACACAACTACACACACAACTACACACAACTACACACACAACTAACACACAACTACACACAACTACACACACTACACACAACTACACACAACACACAACTACACACAACTACACACACAACTACACACACAACTACACACACAACTACACACAACTACACACACAACTACACACACACACAACTACACACACAACTACACACAAACACACACACTACAACACACAACTACACACAACTAACACACACAAACTACACACACACAACTACACACAACTACACACACTACACACACAACTACACACACAACTACACACACAACTACACACACAACTACACACACAACTACACACAACTACACACACAACTACACACACAACTACACACAACACACTACACACAACTACACACACAACTACACACAACTACACACAACTACACACACAACTACACACACAACTACACACAACTACACACACAACTACACACACAACTACACACACAACTACACACAACTACACACAACAACTACACACAACTACACACAACTACACACACACACACACAACTACACACAACTACACACAACTACACACAAACTACACACACAACTACACACACAACACACACAACTACACACAACTACACACACACACACACACAACTAACACACACAACTACACACACAACTACACACAACTACACACAACTACACACAACTACACACAACTACACACAACTACACACACAACATCACCGTGAGAGGTGAGAGGGTCAGACGGTTATTTTTATGTTTTAAGACCTGGTTTACACCTGGTTTAGTCCGAGTTTAGACCTGGTTTAGTCCCTGTTTAGTCCTGGTTTAGACCTGGTTTAGTTCCGGTCTGACGCTGGATCAGTCCTGGTTTGGTCCTTGTTTAGATTAGACCTTGTTAGACCCGTTAGACCTACTTTAGTCCTGGTTTGTAGTCTTGTAGTAAAAGTTAGACCTGGTTTAGTCTTAGTTTAGTCATATTTCAGTCCTGTTTCAGTCCTGGGTTAGTCCTGGTTCAGTCCTGGTTTAGTCCTGTTTTAGTCTTGTTTTAGGCCTGGTTTAGTCCTGTTTTAGGCCTGTTTTAGTCCTGGTTTAGTCCTGTTTTAGTCCTGTTTTAGTCCTGGTTTAGTCCTGTTTTAGTCTTGTTTTAGTCCTGGTTTAGTCCTGTTTTCAGTCTTGTTTTAGTCCTGGTTTAGTCCTGTTTCAGTCTTGTTTTAGTCCTGGTTTAGTCCTGTTTCAGTCTTGTTTTAGTCCTGGTTTCGTGACCCTGCGGTGCGTTCAGGGATTCTCTGTAAACATGGATCAGATTAAATTGTTTTAAAGTCACTTTGACCCAAAATAATGAGTTCATCCGAGAAAACCCCAAACTCCTTTTCTCAAAACAAAAAGTCCAGAAGAAAAGTTTGTTTTGGTCCAAGAAGGACAAAGAGTTCGAACTTTTACAGTTTAAACCTGAAGATCTGATTACATCCTCATTAAGACCTGCTTCAGTCCTGGTTCAGTCCTGGTTTTGTCCCAAGTTTAGACTAGACCTTGTTAGACCAACTAGACCTGATTTAGTCCTGGTTTAGTCCTGGTGTAGACCCGGTTTATTCCTGTTTTAGACCTGGTTTAGTCCTGGTGTAGACCCAGTTTATTCCTGTTTTAGACCTGGTTTAGTCCCGTTTTAGTCCTGATTTAGTCGTGGTTCAGTCCTGGTTTAGTCCTGGTTCAGTCCTGGTTTAGTCCTGGTTTAGTCCTGGTTTAGTCCTGGTTCAGTCCTGGTTCAGTCCTGGTTTAATCCTGTTTTAGTCCTGGTTCAGTCCTGGTTTAATCCTGTTTTAGTCCTGTTTTAGTCCTGGTTTAGAACTGGTTTGGTCCTGGTTTAGTCCTGTTTTAGTCCTGTTTTAGTCCTGGTTCAGTCCTGGTTCAGTCCTGGTTTAGTCCTGGTTTAGTCCTGGTTTAGTCCTGTTTCAGTCCTGTTTTAGTCCTGTTTTAGTCCTGGTTTAGAACTGGTTTGGTCCTGTTTTAGTCCTGTTTTAGTCCTGTTTTAGTCCTGGTTCAGTCCTGGTTTAGTTCTGGTTTAATCCTGTTTTAGACCTGGTTTAGTCCTGGTTTAATCCTGTTTTAGTCCTGGTTTAGTCCTGGTTTAGTCCTGGTTTCAGTCCTGGTTTAGTCCTGGTTCAGTCCTGGTTTAGTCCTGGTTTAGTCCTGGTTCAGTCCTGGTTCAGTCCTGGTTCAGTCCTGGTTTAGTCCTGGTTTAGTCCTGGTTTAGTCCTGGTTTAGTCCTGGTTCAGTCCTGGTTCAGTCCTGGTTTAGTCCTGGTTTAGTCCTGGTTCAGTCCTGGTTCAGTCCTGGTTTAGTCCTGGTTTAGTCCTGTTGGGGTCAGATAAACATGAGGTTTCTTTGTGTTTCTGGTGTAACTGAGTCTGAGATTTCGTGGTTTATTTTCTCCTCAAACTTTCCACAAACCACGAGACGTCGTTTACTCGACCAACGCAGAGGAACTTTTTCAAACTGTAACTTCCACCACCAGTTCGCCGCAAAAGAAAGTCCGTTTCTGAGGTCACTGTCTCGAGACCGCTTTTTTACGGTCTTGGTCTCGTCTCAGACTCGAACGCATTTGGACTTGGTCTTGTCTCGGTCTTGAAGGCGCTTGGACTCGGTCTTGAAGGTGCTTGGACTCGGTCTTGTCTCGGTCTTGAAGGTGCTTGGACTCGGTCTTGTCTCAGTCTTGAAGGCGCTTGGACTCGGTCTTGAAGGTGCTTGGACTCGGTCTTGTCTCGGTCTTGAAGGCGCTTGGACTCGGTCTTGTCTTGGTCTTGAAGGTGCTTGGACTCGGTCTTGTCTCGGTCTTGAAGGTGCTTGGACTCGGTCTTGTCTCGGTCTTGAGGTGCTTGGACTCGGTCTTGTCTCGGTCTTGAAGGTGCTTGGACTCGGTCTTGTCTCGGTCTTGAAGGTGCTTGGACTCGGTCTTGTCTCGGTCTTGAAGGTGCTTGGACTCGGTCTCGTCTCGGTCTTGAAGGTGCTTGGACTCGGTCTCGTCTCGGTCTTGAAGGAGCTTGGACTCGGTCTCGTCTCGGTCTTGAAGGTGCTTGGACTCGGTCTCGTCTCGGTCTTGAAGGTGCTTGGACTCGGTCTCGTCTCGGTCTTGAAGGTGCTTGGACTCGGTCTTGTCTCGGTCTTGTCTTGAAGGTGGCTTGGACTCGGTCTCGTCTCGGTCTTGAAGGTGCTTGGACTCGGTCTCGTCTCGGTCTTGAAGGTGCTTGGACTCGGTCTCGTCTCGGTCTCTAAAAGTGTTAGAACTGTTATTTCTTCTTGTCGTCTGCGCTGAAATGGAGCAAAGGATCATGGGAAATGTAGTTCTCTGTGTCTTTTTTAACTCTTCCTGCGCCAGAACTCTTCATTTAAACAAAGAGATTTATAATTCGATATTTTGAGATATTTAATATTTTTTAACTCATGGAATAAAGGAAATTAAGCAAACCACAAACAAAAACATGTGTTAGTCTTAAACTGGAAATCCAACAAATACAAATCAGATTTATTTACAGTAGTTTTAGTTTAACAGAAGTTGACTCTCCAACTCCAGACCAGGACCAGGACCAGACCCGGACTCGGACTCGGACTCGGACCCCCTCGGACCCCCTCTGGTCTGTGTTATCTCCTGTTGTGTAATCCTGTGAAATGCCGTGTCAGACTTTTGGCCCTGATCCTTTCCTCTGTTTCTGAGACTTTGTGTCTCATTTCCCAGAATTTAAAATCAAAACAACACCAAGAATTCACACTTTCACTCTCGCTGTTTCACTCGTAAAGGAACAGTGTGGAACTTTTCACGTGGAGGGATCTGGTTCTGATTCTAATCGGTCCTAAAACTAGTATCGAAACAAGATCCTTATTTTTTTCTAGTCTCTGGTCTGGTCTCTGGTCTCTGGTCTCTGGTCTCTGGTCTCTGGTCTCTGGTCTCTGGTCTCTGGTCTGGTCTCTGGTCTCTGGTCTCTGGTCTCTGGTCTCTGGT